CATATACATTATAAGGCCATTAACACAGTTTTATAATTTTGTCTTGTGTAATTGTCTATCAGATATGGAGTTACAAACAAAAATACATCTGTACCATCTTTTACATTTGCATATGTATTTATCTTTACCAGTGTTCTTCATCCTTCATCTGGATTCAAGTTACTGTCTAGTGTCTTTTCCTTTTAACCTAAAGGACTCCCTTTATGATTTTTGTGGAACAGGTCTGCTAGTAAGGAATTCTCAGTTTTTAGGGGACTGTCAATTTCTTTCTCATTTTTGAGTAATTCTGACAGATATAGAATTCTTTGTTGAAAGTCCTTTTCTAGCAGCACCTTGAATATTTCATCCTGCTTACTTCTGGCATCCATGGTTTCTGATGAGAAGTCAGCTGATAATTCTATTGAAGGTCTCTTTTACTTGATGAGTCATTTTTCTCTCACTGCTTTCAAGATTCTCTCTTTGTCTTTGGCTTTTGACAGTTTGACCGTGATGCATGCAGGCATAGATTTTCTTGAGATTATCCTGTTTGGATTTTGTTGCACTCTTTAGTTATGTAGATTAATGCTTTCAAAAACTCAAATTTGGGAAGTACTTGGCCATTAATTCTTCAAATATTCCTTTTTCCCCTCTTTCTCCTCTGGAACTTCCAATATGCATATATTGGTATATTTGATGGTGTCCTGCAGATCTCTGAGACTATGCTGTTGTTTTTTTTTTTTTCCTTTTCCTCAGCCTGGATAATCTCAATTGACCTATCTTCAAGTGTTCTGATTATTTCCTCTGCCAGCTCAAATATGAGTCCACTAATGAATTTTTCATTTCAATCATTGTATTTTTCAGCCCCAGAATTTATACATACTTGTTCAATTCCTATCTTTATTAACATTTTGTATTTGATGCAACTTCATTGGACAGACTTTCTTCCCGTTTGTTAGAAATGGTTTGCTTTGGTTCTTTGACTAAATTAATAATAGCTGGTTAAAATTTTTGTAGAATAAATCCAACATCTCAGCCCCCTCAGGGACAGTTTCAATTGACTACTTTTTCCCACTATGCAGAGTTCTATACTTTCCTGTTTGTGTGTGTGCTTTATACTTTTTTCCTTTTTGAAAACTGGGCACTTTAAATTATATATTAATAAATGTGTTAATTCTAGAAATCAGACTCCCCAGGATTTGTTGTTGTTGTTTTTTGCTGTCATTGTAATTGTTACTATTTGTTTGTTTAGTGACTCTCCTGCACTAACCCTTTAAAGTCTGTATTCCCTTAGTGTGCAGCCACTGATGCTTTGGTTCACTTAGTTTAGTGGTTAGCAAAATCTTTGAAGTGATAAGTCTCTCAACCTTTGCTAAAGGGTTGTGCATGTATGTTGGGACATGCCTTCAACAGTCAAGCTCTTTAAGCTTCTGCCTTAAGTTTTATTTACTGCTTTCCCAGGGCCTCAAGATCGATCAGAGGTGAGAGATTGAGGCCTTCTCATTTCTTTTCTGGGCATGCACACAACCCTGCATATGTGCACAGCCTTCTAATTCCGTAGGAATACGTCAGAGTTTTTCAAAGTCTCTATGGACATCTTCCCCATATCTTCCCTTTAAGTTTTTGGCTAGGTTTTTACTTGCCCAGCTGCTATTGACCCCTGAAAATGCAATGTTAAACAACTGCCACTGATTGTTTTTGACAAACGCACTGGGGATAAGGCTTTTTCCACAGAGCAAGCTCTGAGCTCCAAGTCAGGTCAAATAGCAACAATGCCCTGCAAATGGGACTTTCCAGGGAACTGTGAGACAGGTCAAATAGGGACAATGCTCTGGGAATGAGACTTTTTGAGGAGCTTCAAACCAGACTTGTCTTGTCCAGCAGTAGCAAGGCTCCTGGTTTTCACAAGTACCATGTTTGCAAGACTACTGGCTTTCAAGGCGACTGCAGACGTAAGAAGAGGAAAATGGGAGTAGTTCAAGTTACAATGCCACAAACCCTGCTGTTCCTAATAATATTCAGCAGTTTTTCTTGAATAAACAGTCCTCAGACTGTTGGAAGCCTTTAGCTAACTTCAAGAGTTCTGAAAAAGTTGATTTTGACCATCTTTGCCAGTGTTTTCATTGCTTTTATGGAGGGTTGGATTTACGATGAATAAAAGAATTCATAGTACCATAATATCTCTGATAAATTCCTTAGTCTATACCTGGTATTAGGCACACAGAATTACTTACGACTATAAATTAAAGGTTCTATCAAAGTTAAAGAGTTTTCATTTGAATTTGGAAAACCTGCGGTTATCCCCTGGCTCCTCTGCCACCAGGTTTGGAAGCTCCATCCTTTTTCTAACTTCTAGTCTCTTTTACCAGCATCTAGCACAGGTGGAGAATAGCTAAATTTAGAAAAGAAAAGAAATGCTGCTTTTAGAGTAATGGGAATGAATCAGAATGTAAAAGAGGGAGAGAAGGGTCACATCTATAAACCTATTTTTAACCGATGTGTATTTCTTCAATGATGTCCGCATAGAGAGGACACTGGATCTGCAGTCAGACAGGTCAATATTCCAATCCCAGCTCACCTTACTGAGCAGTGTGACCTTACGCAAGACACTCAACCTCTCTGTGCCTCAGTTGTTTCACCTATAAAATGGGCATAATAATTATTTTACAGGTTTTTGAGAGACAGCAATGAAATGTATGTGAAAGTGCCTAGAACATGTAATAAGCACTCAACTGAGAATCAGTTTCCTTTCCCTCAACTACATGGAAAAGTCAAGAACACGCAGGGAATAATAAGATAAAAATATAAAAGTCACAAATTCTAAGCACAGAGTTATCTCAGTACCTAACAATTAGCTTTTCAAGAAAAGATTAAACTAGAACCAGTGTATCTTGTTTTGAAAAGCCAGAACACAAAGCATTCTATGTGTAAAAATCAAGATAATGTATATAGTAAAAATGTATATGGTAAAAAAAACAGGGTTTCTGGCACATGGAATGTACTCAATAAATGTGACATGTGTTGTTTAGAAAAAGCTCAGTAAGAAATTATAAAAGCAAGGTTTGATACTAAATGAACAGACTTCATTTATCTAGAAAATTTACTCTTGTGAAACATCTTCTTCCAAAACTATGCTGAAAAACAAGACTTCACACTCTATTTTCAAAAGAGTAAGCTATACACATTCTCTTTTTGACTCTTTTCTCTTACATAAGAGATGACATAAACCATGCTGGCTAACATAGTATTTTTACAAAAACAGAAAAAATTCAGACAAATAAGAACAGGTATCAGTTTTTCTGGCCATTTCAGGTTTAATATTGTTAAACTTCCCAATTATCTGCAGCCCTGCCACTCTGGTTCTTTCTAACTGATTCCACAGCAGTTTTCTTGCAGTCTCTATGTTCTCTGTAAAGATCCAATTGTATGTCCCACTGGTCATCATTAACTCTGGCAGCAAATCTTCCATCTGTTTACCATCCTGATCTAAATACCTCAACAGAAAAGGAAACCAATTGCTACATTCCTGACATTCGGACTTTAAAGAAAACATATCAGTCACAAAAAGACAACTGTGTCCAATGAATGTAAAATAAAAAATAACAAGTAATATGTATTAGCCATTTACTATCTACCAGGCACTGTTTAAGTCCTTTATGGAGATTACACAATACAATCCTCATAACATCTCTGTGAGGTAAGTAGTATATTAATTTCCACTTTTTTGAATGGAAAACTTGCCCAAAGGTCATGGGGCTAGTCAACTGTAGAGCCAGGATTTAAACTCAGGCAAGTATTATCCCAGAGCCAACGTTTTAAACTATGATACTACCAAGAAACTCTTAGTCTTAAGTCCTGCACTTCTTAACTAAAACAAACACAGACTGCAGTTTGGAAGCACAATAATTATCTTGATGTGACTGCTCTCCTATGATACAAATGTCTCAGACTTATCTGTCCCCCTTCTGTCCTGTCCTCCTCAGGCTTAAGAACCAGAAGGGTCATCTAATCAGCTGCCCCCACTCCAGCCCAGCCAGTAGACTGCACTGCCAGGGAGCAGCAGAAGGCAGAGGAAGGATGGGGAGCTGGGAAAGCTGAAAAGAAAAAAGGGCAGGATTGAAAATTGTAAAAAAGGAGAATGAGAGAAATTTGCTGTGGGATATAAGAAACATAATGATAAAAACAGTTAAAGTCAAGCTTGACATGGCTGGAAAAAAACCCTGATTTTCCTATTAGGGATTACAATATTCTATACATAGCTGCGTGCACCCCGTTATCTGTAACATTTTAATGCTTAAAAATTAGGATACACAGCCTGTATCAATGCATAGACTTAAACATTCTGTAATTTTGGACTTAGTCATGAAGTACTGTGCAAGCCAAAATGGTACATTATTTTTCATCTACTGACTATATACTATGGGTTGTTGTATAGTTGATATGAAGTTATTTATCAAGCCGTTTTTTAGAAGTTGGCAGCTCTTTCCTATCCCTCTCTTGGTTAAGACAAGCTTCTTCACATCATTTAAAGTTCAAAGACATAAGACAGGAGAGAAAGCCACCTTTTTGCCAAGTGTACTTATGACTTGGAAGCAATGGACATTTATTCATGACCCTGTCTGATTTTTGGCTCATAGGAGATAAGCTCTGAGAAACACACATCCACTGTTACAAAGAGAAGAAAGTACAGACATCAAAGCACCATTCACTTTATTTTTAGATAACATATCAAGGCTATTCAGGTTTCTTAGGAAAAACCACGGGGGGGTGGGGGGGGAGATGATGAGATTATCATTCTCATACTCATGCAATACTATGTCCTAAATAGGTTATGGTTGATTTTCTTTAGACTTCAACCACTAGAATATATTCAGACCCCCTGGTACACTCCTGCCTGGTCACCAGAGATACCCTCTCGAAAATGCTTTGCTAGGACACAAACACAATGCATTCAAGACAAATCAGCATAAATTCCAAGTTACTTGCAGCTTCCAGGAATGCAAATTTCAGTAATAACTATATACCTCCCCTTCTCAAGATGTTAGCACCACCATCAAGGAGACCTGGGTCATTTTCCTGGCTCTGAAGCTCTGTTTCTTCAAAGACTACAGGAGGAATACCAAGAAGGTCAGAGAGAGACATACACTAGGAAAAGATTTCCAAGTAATGAGTTCCTGTAAGTCTAACTTTCTTTGAGGCTTGGAGAGAAAAATAAAAAATAAAAACAGACCTCCAAGATCATACGAGACAAAATCTCCATTCTTTCAGGGCTGTCCCTATCAACAATCATGTTTCTAGGAGTGACCTGTGTACTGGAGAAGAAGCTGGTGGAAATTTCCAGTTTCCTAGCCAACTCAGAGCCACAATGATGAGCAACATATAGAGATGAAGCTTGAAATATCTGGAAAGCAGCAAAATTCTGGAGCAGTAGAAAGGACAGACCTGATTTGGGTATCTGGTAGCAACCAGGGCTGGCTCCAGGAGAGGAAGTGCCTGGTCCTCAGTCATCAAACTGAGAGCAGAGGGAACCCCAGCCCTTCCTGGTCCTCTTGTCTCTCCCACAGCAGCAAGATATCACCATTCAGTCTGGAGAATGGCCTTTAGGGAATAGTCGGGGTCCTGGAGAAAGACTCGAGAGAGCCAGTGGTCTTTGCCACTGAATTTCTTTCACCTGTTGGACAGATGATTTGACTTCTCTGAGTTTTGGTTTCCTGATGTATACAATGGTGATAATAAATCTTGCCTTAACTGCTTCCCAGGAACATTGTGAGGGTAAAATACAATAACATACATGAAAGTATACTGCAAAGTATCAGAGCTAGAAGATACAAGGCTAGGAAATGGGCTTCCTAAAAATTATATAAACCTTGGGTAAAAGAAAGCGAGTATAAATTATAGCCAGAATCTAATTTTCTATACAAATAAAACTCTGCCTTATCTACATACAAGCCAGTCAAAGAGACCACAAATAACAGAAACTCCTGAAGTTGGACTTAGGCAGGCCAAGTCACCTGTAGCTAAGGTTTCAGGCCAGAGCTGAGTCCCACTGATAAATGATCACAGTAGCTGGTTCTTCTGCTCTCTATCCTGTACCCTTTCCTTCTTCCAGAGAAGCACTCCTTACCCTCGAGTACCCTCTTTGTTCTCGTCTCTCACCGTGTGCTTATAGTGGAGCCTGTTCTCCCTGGCTACAGCCAATAGGCTGTGGAGGGTAGGGTTGCATGTGACCTCAGGGGGGCCAGTCAGAAGGCTGTCTTGAAAAGTTTCAAACTGGAACTAAGAGAAGAGGAGAGACCCCTCCCAGCAGACACCAGGAGATCTGAGGCTCGGGTACAGTGTGCAGCCTGTTTTCCACTAAGTGAAGGAAGTTGGTTTGAGAAGAGGAAGTTAACACTCAGGCAGAAATCCTGGACCTGCTGCTGCTGCTGCAGTATCTTAGTTCCTGATGTCGTTATACCCTCTACCACTCCACCAGCCCTGCCCCCAACACACAGCCAGCCGTTCCGAGGAATACGTGAACCTGCTAAGGAACTCCTAAAGAAGTTTAAGTCTCGTTTTGTAACAGACAACCAGGTGCATTGACCCCATATTGAAAATAGTAATTTCCATACTCAGGCAGACTCATGGACCATTCAAAGTGGCATCCTGTTTATGGCAAGCACACTAGGATGTTTGCAGGAGACTGCGGTTGTCCTCAAAAATTCAACCTGCTCTGAATAGGTTTCAAACACATCCTAGTTTGCCATCGTGTCCATTATGGCTCTTTAAATTTATCTTCACCTCTCTTGTATTTTCAATCTATACTTTCCACCTTGTGAAGCAATACTTCTTATTTGGTATATTTGTTGTTATATAAAAAAACTCATAATACCTCTTCAATGCTTAAAGTGTGACATATAAATCCTCATCAACTTTGTTCATATTGCTGTGAGTTTATCAAAATTAAGAGAAAAAATCCCAGCCTCCTAGCTCTTTGATAAATCAATTTAACTGTCTTTCTTTAATTCTACGTGGAAGTAAACAGTACCATATAGTACTCTTGTGTAAGCCCAATTTCCTTGAGTGTTTTAGTGTTACAGTAATTAAAGAGTAGGAGCAAATAGTGAAATAAAGGCAGAAATAGAAAAATAAGAAAAAACGAAGAACACTGGAATTCATTTTGTGATACATATAACACAGAAAGACTGAAGAGAAATATCTCCAAATTGTTTCTAGGTGGCAGGATGATGGACAAATTATTTTCTTCTTTATACATTTTTTACATGACTAAAATTTCTATACCGGGTATGTCCTACTATTCTAACAATAAAAAATTATTTAAAAAAACACTGGGAGAAAAATGTGCAAATAGATAACTGGTCAAAAACTAAGATTAAAAGGGGGGAAAAAAGTTTAAAAACAAAAAGGTAAAGGTGGCTGATCATGGCAGAGAGCCTTACCAAATGTCATTGGGACTTAGGTCTTCATAGGAGTTGGCTGTGGCTGGAGAGACCTCAGCCAGCCTACAGCCTAACTGTTTCAGGGGCAGGTAAGAAACAGACACCAGAACATGCAGATCTGAATCCCTGACATGCCCTTTTACTAGATGGCCCATTTCACTTTAGTGCAATCATCCCTAAAAAAGAAAGTCACAAAAGAAGCTTTGAACAAAAGTCCAATAGTACTAAGTAGCATTCTCCGCTTTTCAGAGGCACAGAGAAAGGTTGTGCTCTCAAGTTGAAGACCGAATACCCACCACTGAGAAGCTAACAGCTACTCAGGAAGAACATGTCTGGATTCTCCCTAGATTTTGGCATGTGTTAAGTGTTCAATACATATTTATATAAAAATGATAATGAAATGATAATCATGGTGAAATGTGTAGGTAGTAGAAGAGGTACCACTAATGTGGGCACTAAGAGGTAGACCATCCCAGTGGGAATGATTCCTGCTGGAGGTGACACCTGAGCTGGGTTTAAGGGATACCAAGAATTTGCCAGGCAGAGAAAGTGGAGAAGAGCAGGCAGGGTTCCAGGGAGGCATGAAGTCATGGGTGTTCAGAGAAAGAGAAGTTATTCTAGAGAAAATGGTTTAGCCATGTGGAAGACAAAGGTGACCGAGCTCTGAAGAAAGGGTGGAATTGGACAGAAGTAGAAGGGAAGGAAAAAGGACAGTGTAAGCAAAGACACTGCAGGAAGAAATGGAATGTGAGACATTTATTCTTTCAGTAAATATTTATTGAGTACCTACTCTGTCCCAAACCCGGGGCTAAGAGCTTGGGGTGCCCGAAAGCTTATGTGTAACTTGAACCACGAACAACCCCACGGCACTGTTCTCCCCACTGTAGAGATGAGGAAATTGAGCCTTCACAATGAGGAAGCGATTTGTCCAAGGACACCGAGCTAATAAATAGCATAAATCTAGCTTCTAAGTGTGTTTTATTATAGCCAGAGCATTGACCAAGTTGTTTGTTTTTTTTAATATCATCGTTAAAGCTCAGAGGATGTGGGAGAATCCATGCAATCCCTGGTCTGCTATTCAAATAAAAAATTATGAACACTGCTTACTTTGCTGGATTTTTTTTTTTTTTTCCTTTGTGCTGGAAGATAAATACGTGGGAGTCATGAGTTCTTACTTATAAACAGCCCAGGTCTTTTTGGAACAATTACTAAGAGGACAAGATCAGTGGAAACAGCATGATTACACCAACTGGCAACTGATTAAGTCCATCCACTTCAGAACGTGCTCAGATAGCAAGGGAAGCAGATCCAGTGGCCATCTGAGAAAGGCCAGTCAGGTCCCACCAAAAAACATTTCATAAGACAAAGCCAGACTCGGGATTCGTGTGGAAAATGTTAAACCTGCTCCATGCTGGAAAACTCTGAGACTTCTTCATTGCTGACTGCCTGCAGGAGACTGTTCAGTAAATGACACATCTTGCACGAAGCTGAGCTTGATTGCTCAGAGGGTGTGGAAAATCAACACTTGAGTGGCCAGGTTCTCTACCACTTGCCAAGTGAAGCACAACTTCCTCCCATCTGAATAGGCTTTTCTGAAACCAAGGAAACTTTTGGCCCACGAGGTATATTTCTAAACACAAACATGCACACAGTTTTGACAAAGAACAAAAAAACCTGCTTAAATTTTGCTTCTGAGATTAACCATGTGCCGTTAGGTAAAGGAGGAAAAAAGGTTTTTTTGTTTGTTTGTTTTTGTTTTTTAGGGTCACTGAAAAGTCAATTAGGTTTATAGTAATTCATTCTTTGACCTACACTTTAAACTTTACTTTTTCCCCCCAAATAAGTCATTTCTTTTGGACTTATAAAAAGCTACAAGATTATAACCAGAAATAACAACATAATATAAATGTTCTCCATCATTAAATACGAAAATTAGTTTTTCCTTTTAGATTTGATTTTTTTTTTAATCCTTTAGTTAGAACATGGTACTAAAGTATAAATTCATACCATGCTTTCACATCTGTTTTTGCATTCCATTTGGACAGGCAACTCTGTCCAAATATGATTATTTATGATTATCATGATGCCTCACATAAAAAGCTGTTATGTATTTGAAAGGCCTAAGGGAGGCAGGCCTGAGATTCTTATCTCCCATAAAGCAACCCATCCTCTACCCCCAAGAAACTGGCCATTTCTTATGCTATCTGTGGAGAAATAACAAATACAACCTTTCCTGAAATATTTTTTAACATGTATTTTCATGAAATAAAGGGGGATGATTTTATTGCAAAACTTGTCTTTAATTGAAGATTTGATCTGAAATCCAGTTTGATTTGGGGATTTCCTAATCAGGGAGTTGATTAAGGAATGTTTTAATTAGCCTAAGCAGACTCAAATGAGATTTGGGTTTTTTTAACTGTCCTGAAATCATTTCTGTTCTACTTTTTTTCATCATACAACATTACAGTTTCACGATGTTTTAACATCTCTTTGGAGATGAACCCTGTTACGGTTCAGTCCCAACAGCACTAAATGCAATCTTCTATCTATCATATACTGAGTGAAACAGCTGACCGCTCATACCCACATCCATCCCAACTTAGCAGAACTAACAAGTATACCAAACCTGGACTAGAGAAAAATATTAAAAATATGACTCAAACATTTACTTTTAGGACAGCAAAGAGGGATGGAAACTTTTACCATTTTCCAAAAAGTAAAGATGTTAATGGCCTCTTATAACTAAAACTGCAAATAGGTTAGTACACCCAGGCCATTTTAGGGAAACATTTAAGACTATCCCATACTAAAAGAAATGCTTACCTTGCTGAAATGGGAAGCAGTTCCATCTCTACCTGACTATGAAAACCAAAATCCTAAGTCTGAATACCTCACACGTATCCCTTCCAAGTTCCAGCTTTTGTTTATGTGGGATATTCGGCTTCTCCAAACAAACTGAAAACTAGAGGCAAAGAGACCTAAGTCGAACTTTTAAGTATATCCTTCAAGACATAACACAGTGCTGTGGTAAGCAACTTGATAAATAATATGAACTAAATGTTGGGAAAATGTATCATCACAAGGTTAGGTGGCTTTACATCTGTCTCATGGATAAATCCCTTTAGAGTGCTTTTGGCCTGTTGGTTAATGTGCTCACTTTTCAGTACACAGATTAAGTTCTTTGGATCCTAGAAGTTTTCTAAAATTGACTACAAACTGCCTCCACCAAATGCTTTTGAAAAATTTTACATAATCTTTGTTTTATTAAAGGTGCAACTTAACTGTAGCTATGGTGCTTACTCAACCAAGGGTATATATAGTGTCTTCCTCTCAAATGCAAAACTAACCTGGCTGATTTTCCATCTGCTAGAAAAAACCACAGATACATCTGTGAAGATGGGCCTCACACCCTGCACTTACATGCACTCCCCTGACCATATCAATTCTGGCCCACCACGAAGAGAGCTAAACTTGAGGCTGGCCATTCCTATATCCTCATCTAGTTCCCAAGGGCTGGTCCTCAGTGCAGTGGTTCCCAGAGAGAGTCCCCAGACCAGCAGCATCAGCATCACCTGGGAACCTGTCAGAAATGTACACTCTGGAGCACCAGGCCAGGACCTACTGAATCAGAACCTTTGGGGGGCCCAGCTCCCCAGGTCTGATGCCCTCAAGTTTGAGAACCACTATTACATTGCAACAGCTATTGGAGTTTGACCCTCAGAGCCTGCAGGTGGCACTAAAGGCCAGCTGCAAGAATTACAAGGGACGGGAGCACAATTCTATTAGTTCCTTAATTGCGGCTTAGACTCCCCCAATGCATTAAAAGGTCACAGTACATGTCAGCTTTGAACAGGAACTGCACTGAAACTCTTTTTACAACCCAGCAGTAGATATATCAAACCTACAGTTTTCAGGGATGCAATCAATATTTAATTCTTTTGAGGATATTTGTTTAATACAATGAGGATACAAACATTTTAAGAATGAAGACGTCAATACTGATTAAATAGAACAGCAAAATTAGAAACTCAAATTACCATTAGCTATCCTGTATGTCTGAATTATAATAATGCACTTGATTCTTAAAGAACGATTAGAGTTCCTACCCTGAAAATCTAATTGTATTGATGTAAGAAAAGTGAGGAGGACTTTTCTAATGAAAAACATGTATACAGGTAGCCCCTTTGCTAGATTCTGCCAAAACCCTGAATTTTGCATTAGCTGTTGTACCATCCAAATATCTTTAGTGAGGATATAGAGCAACGGGAACGCTCATACACTGCTGGTAGGAGTGTAAATGGGTACAACCAGTTCAGAAAACCATTTAGCAGTGTCTACTAAAGCTACAAGTATCCAGACCAGCCATTCCACTCCTGAGCACATGCTCTTGAGAAACGAGTGCCTATGTCTACCAAAAGCCTTGTAAAAGAATGATCTTAGAAGTGTAATTCATAATAGTCACAAACTGAAAAAAATCCAAAGGTCCATCCACAGGAGAGTTGATGAATACTATGGATATTCATACAATGAAATAGAAACTGCAAGGAAAAATCACACGAACCAGTAAACCAAACCACTGCTGCACAACACGGATGAATCTCACAGACATAATGGTGAGTGAAAGAAGCCAGACACAAAGGGATACACTGTTATCCAAACAGACAAAACTAATCTGTGGTGACAGAGGTCAGCACAGAGGTTACTGGGGGTATCTGGCAGCAGGCCTGAGGAGCTGCTAAAAATGTTCCACATCCTGGGTGGGGGATGCTACCGGGGTGTACACATATGAAAAGTTCAGTGAGTTGCACACAAAATTCGTACATTTTACTGTATTTATACCTTTTTATAAAGGGGATAGTTAAACGCACAGGCAAGAAATATTCTCAACAGTCATGTAACAATTCTCAATATCCGTCATAAAAATATAGATTCCTAGGAAACCATCTCGGTATCAGAGTATACTTATTGCATAAATACTCTGCATTTGCTGAATTATATCTCAAAATTAAATGCAGTGAACAGGGGATTCGCCTTCTTTCCAATGTTATACCTTCAAGTGTGTTATCTATAAAACAGTCAAACCTTTCTGAGCTGCACTCTCTAGCCCAAACGCCTCTTATTCAACCATTTAACATGTCCCTCCTTGTGTGGCACTGGCTGACCATCGTCCCAAGCCCTCGCATGCTCTGATGGCTGATTGGTCTTCATCCACAGAGAGGCTGAAAGGCCCGGCTCCGGCACTCATGTGGTCATTATCTCCCTGAATCGTTTTGAACGGCCCTTGGCCTAACCGCGACCCGCATCCAGCTTCTCTCCTGCCAGGGCCGCGTTAAGCCAGCGCACAGCCTCCCTGGTCATTTCGTCCCTACTGGCTCCCAGGTTCCCATCTAGCAGGATCCCAGGCGCTGGGCCGGCCGCCGAGGGGGAATGCCAAGGTACGCCCCCAAGCCGAGCAGCGCACCCGACAGCCCGCACCCGCGTGGCTCTGCAGGCGGACGCCGCTGTCCCCGCCCAGCCACCGATCCCCTGGGGACGGGAACCGGGGCAACACGCTCGGTCCCTTTCTGCGCTTCCGGGTTTGAACACCGCGGCTAGCTACGCCGTGTGACCGAGATGCAGAGCAGGCATCCCGGAGAGAAGGCCGTCCCGCGCCACCGGCGGGGAGCGGCAGCCGCTGGGGTGCGGGCCGGCCGGGGCG